AGCCTTCTCCCTTGGCCTGGATTGACTGTGTGACAGCCACCTCCTGCCTCTCAGCTCTGGGGACGTGAGGGAAGCTGGTGGCAGACACAGATGTTCAGGTTAGGGTGTGTGGGGAAGTGGTCAGAGGATCCCTACTTTGGGAATACGTGTGGATTCAGGTGAAAGCTGAGGATGTGGTATAAACTGACAGAGAGTAGGTTTAGATTGGATATTAGGAAGAAATTCTTCCCTGAGAGGGTGGAGACACAGGGTGCCCAGAGAGGCTGTGGCTGCCCCACTGGGTCCAAGGCCAGGTTGGGTGGGGCTTGGAGCCACCTGGGATAGTGGAAGGTGTCCTTGGATCCCTGGAAGTGTCCCAGGCCAGGCTGGGTGAGGCTTGGAGCCACCTGGGATAGTGGAAGGTGTCCCTTCTAAGAACTAAACTGTCCCTTCCAAGAACTGAACTGTGTATCTAGGATCTACAGCACTGATTTAGAAAGTTTAGATCATCTACCACTCCAAAAAACGGGTGGAATAACTTGATTACTTTGAAAGGCAAATAGAATGGATCCCTGGAAGTGTCCCAGGCCCGGCTGGGTGAGGCTTGGAGCCACCTGGGATAGTGGAAGGTGTCCCTGGATCCTTGGAAATGTCCCAGGCCAGGCTGGGTAAGGCTTGGAGCCACCTGGGATAGTGGAAGGTGTCCCTGCCCATGGCAGGGGTTTGGAACAAGATGAGCTTTAAGGTCTTTTCTGGCCTGAGCCTTTCTGTGATTCTTTGATCTTAGCACTTCCTCCCTGCACAGTCAGCCTCATGGTATTGCATAGCATAAGCTTGCCTTTAAAAGCTACTTTTATTCTTTTATTCTGTGGCCCCATTTTAAACCCACTTTAAGTGTTCTTCTGGAGGAAGAAAGATTTTTAGCAGCTGAACCTTCTTCCTGTTTTTCCCACAGGTAAGCTCAGACAGTGTTTGAATTTCCATAGAAGGCACTTGTAATGAAAGCCTGAGGTTCTCCAGTTTATTGCCATTCTGTTTCTCAGTTTTGTTTCGGTGTTTTTTTTTTTTTTTTTTTAAGCTTTTTTTGTGTTCCACAGCTCGCAGCTGAGGAAATGCTGTTCTGGCAGAAATGCAAAATATGCTCTCATTAGCTTTGGCATTCCTCCCCCCTCCCTTTTCCATCATCTGGGACAGAAGAGCATTACTGCAGTTAATTTGTGCTCTTTTGTAGTGGCATAAGTGCTATCCCTGGAACCAGCTCAGCTAGCTAATGACTTTTAGAAACAAAGTACTAAGGATGTATTCCTAATCTGTGCAGCTAAAAATTCAATATGTAAACTGCTTAGGTAGCTGAGTGCATTAATATCAGTACAAATGAGCACTGCAAGTCCTAATGATAGCAATTAGTATTTTATCTGATACCTGGGTCTGTTTTACTGCTCTAAGAATAAAATCAAATCCTCCAGTGGAGGCTTTTTTTTTTCTCCCTGCACTTTAGTGTGCTCATAAGTCAGGTTTTTAAACTGCTTCTGAAATAATCCTGTGGCTTGTGAAGCTTTTATGTGGAGAAGGTTCTCTTACAGAAATAAAAGCAGCTTATCTACTCTCTTCTAATGGGAAGGGAAACCTTTATTTTTTGATGCCTTCACAAATAAGCAGTTTATTGTCTTCCATGAAATTCTGTCCTGTAGACAGGTTTAAAATCGGGTCAGCCTGTTCCCAGCTGGGGAAGCAGGAAGAGTTCATTCACTCTGAGCAGCACCTCCAGGGCTGCAGGGCAGGGGATTCTGGTGGCTGGGCTACCCAGAGGCTGAGTATTCCCCTTTATTGCCCTGTAAAACGAGCCAGTGCTGTGGGACTGCAATCTTGGAGAATCCCAGAATGGTTTGGGTTCTTGGGACCTTGGAAATCATCCAGTGCCAGCCACCTTCTACTGGACCAGCTTGTTCTGAGCCCCATCCAGCCTGGGCTTGGACACTGCCAGGGATGCAGGGGCAGCCCAGAGGCAAGGATTCCTTCCTGACATCCATCCCTCTGTCCATGGGGAGCTGCACACCCTGGTCCTGTCATTCTGCTCCTGTAAAAAGTCACTCTGTCTCTTTTTTTATAAGCTCCCTTTTAACCCAGCGGGTTCCTGGGTGTAATAAAGACAAATTTGAGTGCAGCCTTCTAAATCTCCTTTGGTTTCTGTGGGATTAAGTGAATAATTCAGAATGTAAAGGTCTCTCGTGTCTTGCTGGATACTTGCAGGGGAAGGAGCATTTGGGAAAAACTGAGCCAGGGAGATGAGAGGTTGTAATTCACTGCTAACTCCTCTTCCATGCCAATTTTCACTGGGTTTTTAAATCCCAGTTTTTATATCCTCCTAAATGGATCAGCCTCATCCTTCACACTCATCTAAGTATGAAATGAGTGAAGAAGGAAAGGGAGAAATATAGAGAAAACTTTATCTGGTGAAACTGTACTGCTTGTGGATTGATTTCAGATTGGGTTTTTTTAAAGCAAGAAAGGGGAAGAAATTCTTCAATGTCTTATGAACATAGTGAAAATCTCCTCTCATTTGTTCACAATTTGGATATACCATTGAGTTCCTGTTTGTAATTTCTCAGGGGTTTTAGTGACAACAAAATGTGCAGACAGCTGGGATCTTCTGTCCAGAGCTTTCTCCAAGAGTGAGGTCAATCTCTTGCCAGATTTATTTATTTTGGCTCGGCCATTGACTGGAGTGACTTCTGTCAAGAAGGTCATGTTCCATTTTGACTCGAGGCTCAGTGTCCTCCATCTTCAGGGAAAAAGAAAAAAAGAAAAAGGGCACAGCCCACTTTATATTTGATGCTGCAGCATTTTCTTGCCATGAGTTGAGAACAGCTATTGAGGCAGCAGCCCATTAGTGGCTCCATTTCCATCCTTTAAGTGCAGCTCCAAACCAGAATGATGTCCTGGAATTTCATCCTAGGCCAAGAACCAAAGTCATGGCTGCTGGTTAAACGCTCATTTCCAGGGCTTTGCCAGTGAAGGTTGTGCAAACTCGCTGAAACTTAAGTAGCACCTCCGGTGAGCTGGAAAAGGTGGCTCTTGTGCAGTTCTGGGGTTAAATCGCCTTTGTGCTGAGTGGCTCGGAGGACGGGGCGTTCATTAATGGGACTTTGCCTAATTGCAGCGGTTTGTGTGGCCGCCTTGGTTTGGAGGCTGAAGCGGCTCTGCTGTATTTTTAAATTGCCCTTTGCCGAGTGAATAGGTGCTAATTTGCCTTCTCAGAGCTCTGGGCTGCCTGCTTTTGCCCAATTCAGTCCCTGTCCCTTCAGCCTGTGCTGGGACATGGGTAAAAACCCTCCTCTGTTAAGGGTAAACGCTGATAATTCTGTTTTAAAGTTTATTTATTTACTTACTTATTAATTAATAATTATTAATTATTTTATTTAATGGTAAACTTTATTTATTAATTAAAATTATGTTTGGATTGCTTAAATACTTTCAAACTCTGCCATGTTATATGCATTTTACTGCTTTTCCAATGTAGTGAGTGTTCATCGCTGTTGCTTTTCGATAAGGAAACCTGCCTTCCTCCTTTGGTTATTAGAAAAACACTTGGCTTTTTAGAAATACTCTTAGTAGCCTCTCCAGTTGTATTGGAATGACACATTACCCCCTAAAAAATGTTAATTAAATGATGCTTCAGTTGCTGGCTTGACCCAGAAGTGAGACCTGTGAAGGATCCTGAGAAGGGAAGTTTTTAATTTAGTGCTTGTTGAAAAAACTGCTCTATTCCCAAGTGAAATCCTACAGCACAGGAATCAAGGATTTATTCCTTCCAAAGTTTAGTTACAAGTGTTTTGAAAAGCCCCTGTGTTTTCCCTGTGGTTTGGTTGAAAAGCCCCACATATTTTCCCTGTTGATTGGAGGGTGAAGCTCTCAAGTGCTGGAGATCTCCCCAGTTAAACTGAGCTGGTTAAAAGGGAAAAGGGATTTGAACAGGGCTCTGTTCTTGCTTCTTCTTCTTCCCTCTAGAAACCCTTGCCCAGAGAATTGGATGGAAGACCTTGTTCAGAGGGAAATGTCCTTTCTCTCCCGTGCACATGCAGTTTTGTGAGGCTCTTGAAGAGCATCTGCTTTGAAGCTATTGATTAGGAATTTGGGCTGTGTCCCGACTGTAATTCCTGCTTTGACGCTGTAATTGTGCTTGCATCACCATTTTCTGGGGGTTATTTTGGCAGCAGCAGTGTTTTCTTCTCCCATTCCCCCTCGGTGTGTAACATGCTAATTAGATCTTTAAATTAAGGACTTGCTGAGTGCTTCCATCTTCATTGAAAATCCAGCCCGAGGTACTTAATAGACCTGTTTTGGTGGTGCCTTCACTCACCACCTGAGAATTCCTTGGAAAAAAATTATCACAGTTCCTTCTTTGGGCAGTGGTTCTTGGGACTGTGCAGAGAACCTTGCATTCCTCATCTGCTCTTGGTGCTTCTCTCTCAGTGTTTTGAAGGTTTGTGCTTTTATCTGTGACTCTTGAGTGGAAGGGAATAAAAACTATCTCCTACCTCTGCTTTTTATGTCACAGATCATTCAATGAGGTCCACAGCTCACAAATGGCCTTAGGCAGCTCAGATAGCAAAATCCTGATTCCTCACAGAGTGGGACACTTGCCTCTTCCTCTTCATCTCAAATCTCACATGGGCAGACTGCTTGACTTTATAGATCTGTTCTCTAAATTTGTACCACAAACAATGATCCAAAATACAACTTCCAAAAAATGAAACCCTCTCTGACAAAATTGCAATTTTCAGAAATAAACAGCTAAAAAAAAAATTTGCTTAAAATTATTTCTAGAAAGAACTAAACAGTGTATCTAGGATCCATAGCACTGATTTAGAAAGCTCAGATCATCTACCACTCCAAAAAATGGCTGGAATAATTTGATTTCTTTCAAAGGCAAATAGAATATTTCCTTACTTGAAGAAAAAGGAGAAGATGCCCAGTTTAGTTGAAATGTATCTCTAGGACACACACTTCTAGAACTCAAACTAATTTTTGTGGCAATTAAGGAAAGCATGGGTTCTGCATACCAGAAAGCCCCTTTTAAATCTCAGTTGGCTTTTTGATGCCCTATTTGTTTTCATTTGTGTTTTCCTTGACTTTGCACAGGATGCCATTACTCCCTACAAGGAGATCCTGCAGATGTACTGGGAGAAGGTGACAGGATTTGTGAACGCCCGCTGTGATGGGCTGGAGCCCTGGCAGCTCATTGGGCTGACTTTTTCTTCCACCCTTGCAAGTGTGTGGCTGCATGGCTTCCTCTGCCAGCCTGAGAGTAAGTATTGGACATTTTCTTACCTTTGCAGGGAGGGGAGGTGATCCTGAGCTGTTCCTGGGCAGTGGAAGGAAAGAGGGTGGAACAAGGCCAAACTCTCATTAAAACAGACTGTGAAAAGTGGATACTTTATGATTGGCTTTTCACAAATATTCAAATGAATGTTATATGTGTTGTGTTAGAAAGTGATGCTGTACTAATTTTCTTAAGTAGTTAAATACAGTTTTAGGTTATAAATAATGTTGGAATTGAAACTATTCTATGTAAGGTACTTTGTTTTTAAAGAGAGGACTCACAGTGAGATAGCAGCCACAGGACACCTGAATCTTTCAGAGAAAGAGAATTTATTGCTCCATTATCGAGTTCCTCCTGCCTCACTCAGCCCTGAAGACTCAGTCAGGATTCAGAGGAAGAAGCTGACACTGCCCAGCCAGAATCCTGGGTTTGAATGGAATTTATGCATCATGGATGAGGTGTATGAATATGCAACAGGCTGTTGCTGTTAAGGGTTAATCCTCTGTTAACGTGGGTCCTTTTTTGGGCTTATTTTGCCCAGAAAGAGGCACCTGGACTGTCTGTAACTCTTTGTTTCTATTGTCTCATATTGTCCAAATTATTATTACTCTAATCATATTACTATTTTTATAACCATTTTATTACTATTTTTATAACCATTTTATTACTATTCAACTTTTAAAATATTAAAACCAAGTGATTGGTGTTTTTCACAAGACTTTCTGCTGTCACCTAATATTTACCAGATGTTCAGAATTAAGGTCAAGGCCTGCCTGGTAAATGAAGCTCTCCCCCATTCTGTCAGAGGGTGCATGGAATGTTCTTCTGTCCCCTTCCCTTTCCCTTCCCTCCCTTTTTCCTTTGGCTAAACCCTGTGCTTGTCACAACACACTCTTCTTGCCCAAACCCTGGGGGGATTTATGGAGAGCTGGGTTCCTGAGAACTTAGTCACTGCTGCACAGTGTCTGCATAACCCTGGTTGTTTCCCTTCCTGCTGGGGAGGAGATGTGGTCTTGATGCCATCTTGGGGGCACATTTCATCCTCAAAATGTTCAAGAAACAACTGCATGTGATAGTATGAAGAAATTTTCTTCTTGTAATTTTTTTTTTTTAAATATATTTCCGGAGTACCTTCCTGTTTTGAGTGGTTTCTGGTACTGGCAGCTCTTCAGTGGAGCTGAGTTCTGCAGAACCTGCAGTTTTCTCTGGCTGTGTGATGGCCTGAAGTCACTGCCATGCCCTCTGAGGTGCATTTCAGTTCCCACAGGCCTTGGGGTTGCACTCTGGTGACAGCTTGTTTAAAACAGCCAAGTTTTTAACCTGATTCTCCTCCTCTGTCTCTGAAGCAGCCCTTTCTCTTTCTGAAGCAGTGGGAATGTCTATAAGGAACAAATTTCTATGAACCTTCTGTTCAGGACCATTATCTCCCTAGCTAGTATTTGTACTGTTGCACAATGTATTTTGTTTAAGTATGGAGTGGCTCTTAGAAGATCTGATTAGATTGTCAGATTTTTCAGGAGTTTGCAGTCTTTTCTTGCTGTGCAATTTATTGATGGAACAGTGTGCACACTGAGATGTGCAGCAGAAATGTCATTACCAGGGCACTAACAAGAATTTACTACAGAATGTGCCAATTAGTGTCCTTGGTAGCTTTCCAAATTGTATCTATGAAGTGAAATGTATATGAACTGTAGATAAAATTGCAAAGTCTTCATATGGTTGATTTTTAAACTTTATTTGGTTATTTTTTGGTTTGTCCTGTAACTGCTGGTGTGCAGGTGGGATTGAGAAGGCATTTTTGGTGGTAGTAAAGCATCTGTGTCATCCAGATTTCATTCCTGCCTTTGGAGCTTCCCGAGGAGTTTTCCAGTGCTTGTCATCAGTGGCTTCTCTCATTTGAGTCTCTGTGCTGTGGTGGAATTTCTGCTCTTCCCTCTGTCCATCCCCTTGCCCTGAGTCACCTCCCAGTGCATCAAACAGGGCAAATCCATTGGCACAAATGTCCCCGTTCCCTCCTTTGGCCTGGGAGCCTGTTCCACACTGCTCAGTGGTTTTGTTTTTAAGTAACTATTCTGCTTTGAAGAGGCAGGAAATGTTAATAATTCCTTACCTTTAGCAAACCCTGAAATCCCTCTTTTTCCTGTAAAATTCCCCATGTGGGTGTGAATTCCCATGTAAGTAAGAAACAAATAACTGATTCCTGCAGTCCAGATGTTTCCATGGCATGGTCCATCCATGAAAACCTTGCTCTTGGATCCACTCATCTGTCTCACCCTGTGTTATTTCAGCTTGGACCAGGAATGCTGAGCTTGGATCATGAGCTGCATCAGAAGTTTCTATTTTTTTTTTTTTTTTGTTTCTTAAGTTCCTTTCTGCTTTTTGTCTTTCAGGTTTGACATCCCGAACTAAAAAACAATTCTTTAAACTGCTGAGAAAAATGCCATTTGTTGGGGCTATAGTAAGTATTTGAACAAATATTATAGGACTATTCCAGGTCCTTTTTTCACCTCTTTTGGAGAATATACAGTTCAGTGCATCTTTGTTGTCATGCACAGTGATCCTAATGACCCAGGACATACATCTGGAATGTCTTCTGCTGCCTCTGGTCTAATGACAGATAGAATTTCTACCCAATCTTTGTCATAGCATCACTCCCACAATAAGGGGGTTCCAGCTCTTTTTAATTTTTGAGCTATTTATATTAACCAAGATTGAGTGAATTCTCCAGTAATGTTTCCTTGGTTTTAGATTTTAAGAAAATGATTTTAATTCTGGAAGAAGGTTCAGGATTGAACTGGAATTATTCTTCTGAAGCAGTGTGGAGTGGGTGACAGCAATTGTCACATTGACAGCAATTCCACATTGTTGTGCAATGTGTATTTATTTTAATCAAGCAACTGGCCATGATTTGTTCAAGGCTCAGATAACTATTAGCAAAAGTTAGCAGCAGGATATCAGCACTTTGTGTAATCATTAAAATGACCCAGGACCTTTAGTGTTTGGGAGCTGGTGTTTAGTTTTTGTTTTTTTGGGTTTTTGCTTTGTTTTGGGGTTTTTTTTGGGGTTTTGTGGGGTATTTTTGTTGTTGTTGTTTGGGGTTTTTTTTTTTGGTGGTGTTTTTTTGTTTTGTTGTTTTCTTTTTTTTTTTCCCCTCATAAAAACTTGAAACCACAAGTCTCAGCATGTTTTAGCAGGTTAAGGACTGGGGCTGAAGAAATGCACAGCTGGGTTTATTTCACCTCGTAAACCACGGTATCACACTCGATTGCACTTCCTGCTGCTTGCTGGGCTGGTGTGTTTACACCTTGATTCCAGGGTTCACATCTCTTCCAGGCAACTTTATCCAAAGAGTAGCACAGAGAAATTGTATTTGTGGGGTTCCCAGATGAAGGGAGCAATGATGGGTCTGACTCCATGCTCTCAGAAGGCTAATTTATTATTTTATGATAATATATTATATTAAAGAATACTAAACTATACTAAAGAATATAGAAGGCTAAAAAGGTAATAATGAAAACTTTTGACTCTTTCCAGAGTCCTGACACAGCTTGGCACTGATTGGCCAATAAGCCAAAACAGTTCACATGAAACAATCTCCAAACACATTCCACATGTGAGCACAACACAGGAGAAGCAAATGAGATAAGAATTTGTCTTCCTTTTTCTCTGAGGCTTCTCTGCTTCCCAGGAGAAAATCCTGGGATTTTTCAGATTTTTCAGCAAATGTGACTGTGACACAGAGGATTTTTTTTCTTTTCCTGTGGAGATAGGAGTTCTCCAGTTTCTCCCATATCCCTCTGGAAGGGACTAAATCCCCTCCCTGACCTGTTAAGTGCCCCAGCTTTCACCTCCTAACCTGAGTAGTCCTTGATCAAGCCAATTCTCTGCTTGTTCCTTGCCTGTCTGTTAGAAAAGGACACTTTATACAATCCCTGTTGTGTCCAGACTTCCCTTCCCAGGGCTGGCCCTGCTCCCCTGTACCAGAGCACTCCTGCTGTGTCATATCTGTGTCCTCTTCCTGCTTGTTCCTAGGTTGATACCTGATAACTTATCAGGTGCTCACAAGAGGCCTTGGCTTTGAGGCATTCCAATGTCCAAAAGTCAATATCCCAGCACCTGTGTTGCCTGGAAGAAGGATCTTGGTTTTGGAATGTGTTGAGAGAAGTCTGGGGTTTCCTGAGTGCAGGGTGTGGGTGGGAAGAAAGAAAATCTTGATTGATTCTTTAGTGAGATTTCTTTATTATGTCTCCCTTTTTGTGAGTTTCTAAACCGTGTGTGTGAGGGTAGAAGAGGCAAAGTACAAACCAATGCTCCTGAAGACCAATACAAATTAAAAACTGTGACTTGAAAAGGTTTGCTGGATAAAAATGCAGTTTTTTTCCTTGAGATTTATTTTCTCAAACACTAAGGAAAGGGATCAAACTCCCAGTGGAGCAGTTCCTGTCTGCTCCATCAGCACCACAGATACAGGCAGCAGGTCCTGTCCTGCACACACTCACCAATTATTCAGAATTTGACCAGTGCCATAGTTTGATAGGCTTTTTTCTTGCTTTTTAGATTCAAAAGAAGATTGATGAAGCCTTGAATGATGTCACTTCCAGTTTATCCTTCCTGAAAGATGAAAGGGAATATATCAAAGCACTGCCAGAACAAGGCATGAGCCAGCCTGAAGTGCTGCAGAAGATGAAAGAGTACAGCTCAAAAGGTGAGTCTGTACTGCAGCAGACACCACACATGACACTTCCTTTCTTAAATGAATCTCAGGGACTCCTACTCATGATTTCAGCTTAAATATTTTGTCCCCTTGCAAGTTGTTGTCTGTTTTTCTTCTGGATGTGACTGAGATTCATGAATTTTAATGCTTTACATTGAAATTCTGTTCCTTCTACCAGAATTCTAGGCAGATGGGAGAGCTGAGGAGAGGAGAAATAAGGAGGAAGTTCTCTTTTTGGATTGCATTTCTGAGCAGCTGCATTGATGTTTGGTTTTACCAGAAATGTGAAGCCACAGAAAATACTCACAATCAAAAAAAAAAAAAAACCAATTTCCAAGTAGGATTGTTAGGGAATTTCCAAGACTGTGACCTCAGTTAAGAGAGACAATGGTTTGTGCCTTGAAAAAGCCTTTTAAGGAAGAGTGAGATGATGTTCTCCTGGCTTGAGCCCACCCAAGCAGTGTCTGACACTTCATCTGAGTTGCCTCTCTCATGTAAACGTGTTCCCCCTGATCTGTGTGCCTCTTACTCCTAATGAGCAAATCTGGGTGACTTCCTGTCCAGGAGAGAAGATACAACTGCCCTGCTCCTGTCCCAAATTCGAGGAATGCCTTGAATTTTCTGCTAGAACAGTGCATCTGCTCCAAATTCAGAAACACACAATTTCATTATGCAGTATCCTGGAACAACTTCCTTCTTTTCTACTGCTGTGTATTGCTAATGTTGTTTCTGTCTCTGTTTTCTCTTAAATTTTTATTTCCTTCCTTCACTGGGTTCATTTTTTTTTTCCTAAAGTCCTCCTCTCCATTTTTGCCCCCCACCCCTTTGGAAGTTGCCTGGAGGTCCCAGTTTAGGTGAAATTTAATTGAGGTGCCAGCACTGTGGATTTTAGCACTACAAACTTGGCTTTTCCATCTCTTCCCAGCTTACTGTGATGGTGGGTGCTCTTTGAAAGTGGCTTTTAATTGAGTGTCCAGTTGGTTGAACAGCAGTTTGGGGAGACTGCTGGGGATTAAGTGGATTATTTATTAATATAACTGCTTGCTCCAGCTACATGTTGGTTATGTGCTGACTCTTCAGTCATCATTGACTTGCTGTTTGCTAACTTCACACAGTGCCAGGGGCTCAGCTTCACACACAGCTCTCCCTGGGAAGTCTCAAAAGCTGAGTCCTGCTCTGTGGAACTGAGGGGATTTTCCATGTGCTTTTCCACCCTGCTTGGGAATGGCTGAGTTTGTGAGCAGTGTCCCTTTCCCTGTCTTGCAGGAGATGTACGCTGGCAGGATGGCAAAGTCTCAGGGACTGTGTACAGTGGTGAAGAGAAACTCACCCACCTGCTGGTCAAGGTAAGGTGCAAGCAGGCCAACTTTGCATCTTCAGGGTGACCAGAAACCCCTCAGAGCTGTTCCAGCATCCCAGAGTAAATAGGGAAGATCTAAAACTTAAGTCTGGGAAGGGGAATTAGTGGCAATTTGGGCAGTGTGACTCTAGCCAGGGAACTGTCCCTGTGGGAGCACCTTGTAGAGATAACTGGGATCTAATCAGATGAGAAAACAATTAGTAATTACAGGTGAACTGGAAACTGCTACTGGAACAGCTTTCACTGTTCTGAGCTTTTACTGTTTTGAGCAAAACGAAACTTTTCCCTGTTTGGAGCAAAACTAAACTCCTCTTGGTTTGAGCAAAAGAGAAGTTTTGGGAAATGGTTTTTTGAGCAGTGGAGCACTGAATCACTGTCACAGTGTCCAAGTGCAGTGGAGCACTTAGACAATGGAGCACTGGCATGCTTCAGCGGTGTTTCTGTGATGTCTGTTTACCTGCTCAGGAACTCCTCCCTTTGAGAAGGCTGGAAAATAACCTAAACAGCCTCAAGGTTTGTTTTCAAGTACATCTCCTTCCAGAGTTGTTTTGCTAGAAAGGGAAGTCTGGCCCTCTTGTTCCTGGGAACAGTTTTTGTAGCAGGCTCTGTTTGGTGGTTCCTAATGCTCTTTTCTTCCTCATGTTGACATTTTCTGTGCCACTTTTGGAGAAACAAAGCTCAGAGCAGCCTTTCTGGAGGGGCCTCAGCTTGGATCACTTTGTGGAAACATTGCCTTTGTTTGTGGTGATTATTCACTGCTTTGTTTTGCTGTATTTTATTTAACATCCCTGCAGTTGCTTTTTGATCTGGACTGCAGGAGGTTGGGGCTGGCCTGTTCCAGCCTTTTATCCTCTGAGTCCACAGCTGTGGAATGAGCAGAAATACTGGTTTCCACAGCCACTTTCCTTGTGGTGTGGGTGGGCATTTGTGCTTTACTGCCTGCTCCAGAACCCCCTCTTAACAGTAAACTTGAGAACAAGTTCTGCTAAGTCACTTTTTTTCCTGATTTGTGTAAAGCAATTGCAGGATGTATCTTGTGTTCTTTAAAAACAGCAAAATTATTAGATCTGTTCTTACAACAAGAGATATTGCTGTGCTGTAGAATCCACTGCAGGGGTCTGAATGCCTTAGAAAAACATTTATTTTTTCTTTATTTTACTCCTCAGCTTCCCAGCTTGTGGCATTTACTTGCAGGAGCAGTTAAGTCCTGTAATATTTTTAGGGTAAAATGCAGCTAATTTGCTTTTAGAGTGCACATGGGGAGTTCTTAAAGCCTCAGCTGCAAGTCTTAACTTTTCTCTCTTTGTTTTCTGAAGGTGTATGAAGAGTTTGCCTGGAGTAATCCTCTCCATCCAGATATATTCCCTGGTCTGAGGAAGATGGAAGCAGAAGTAGTGAGGATTGCCTGCACGCTCTTCCATGGGGGCCCCAAATCTTGTGGTGCTGTAAGTAACCTGTCTTTGCCTCCTGAACATTTTGGGTATTTTTGACTTTGATAAGTGCAAATGCACCTTGTGCTCTCCAGAGGGGCATGAGGGTAAGCTCATTCTGGTGTATTCCATGCCAGCTGTGTGGAGGTTGCTTAATTCCTCTTCTTGAGAGAGACAATTTCACTCAGAGAAACAGTTTGCTAAACATGACCATTTACTTCAGCTTTTTTCCCCCCCTCTTAAGTGACACAGGCTTGATGGCAGTTGGAAAGGGGAACTGGTGTAATGCAGCCTGGCTGGGTGTCAGTGGGGAGCTGTGAACAGAGAAGTGTCACTCTGAGAGGCTCCCCTCAGTTTTACTCTCTGAGCTGGAGATGTGTGAGCCTGCCAGATTGCTGAGCTCCAGGGCAAGGCCAGCTGGCTGCCTGGCTACCCACCAACAAGCAGGCATGGCATGGATTGTCAGCTGTCCAGCTGGAAAGCTGCATTTCCAGGCTCATGTGGCCTTCCTGTGCTAACCAGTTGTACAGTCTTGATAAAATTCCCAGCAAGAGTCCAAATGTGTGTTCTGAAGCTGATGGAGGGCAGTGTTGACACAAGAGCTGAACTGGCCTTGAGTGGGCTCTCCCTGTCAGCTGGAGGGTTGCTTGTGGTGAGGAGTTGAGTACTGGAGTAGCTTTCTACAAGGTGTAGTTGGGATCAGACTCCCAGTGGGATTGAAGATGAACTCAGCTGTGTGGGAGTGCAAGATGTGATTGTGTTGAGAGGAGGAGGAGGAGGTGACACCCTCTGACCTGACTTTTCTTCTCAGGACTGTGTTCCTTGTACGACCTTTAGCTTGTGAAAAATGCCAATCACTTGTTTTTAGAATTTTAAAAGTTTAATAGTAATAAAATGGTTATAAAAATAGCAATATAATTATAATAATAAAAATTTGGACAATTAAGATTTAGGACAATATGAGACAATAAAAACAAAGAGTTACAGACAGTCCAGGTACCTTTTCTGGGCAAAATAAGCCCAAAAAAGGACCCACGTTAACAGAGGATTAACCCTTAAAAGCAACAGCCTGTTGCATATTCCTACACCTCATCCATGATGCATAAATTCCATTCAAAGACAGGATTCTGTCTGGGCAGAATCCTCTGAATCCTGACTGAGTCTTCAGGGCTGAGCAGGCAGGAAGAACTCAATAATGGAGCAATAAATTCTCTTTCTGTGAGAGATTTGGGTGTCCTGTGGCTGCTACCTCATTCCTTCCTTAAAACAAATATCCCACATACATAGTTCCTATTTTAACATTTTGTTATAACCTAAAACTATACTTAACACACTACTTAAGAAAATTAATACAGCATAACTTTCTAACACAACACATACAATATTCATTTGAGTATTTGTGAAAATCCAATCATAAAATACGCATTTTTCACAAGCTTTAGAGGAGGAACGTGTGTCTTTGCTTACAAAACCCATTTCACCTCACCTCAGCTGCTTCCTGGCTTGCAGAGCTGAGATTATCCCTGGAGTGGGGCAAGGGCTGGGGATGCAGCTGCTGGGACTGGTTTCTGTCAGCAGTTGGGACATCAGCTGGCCCAGCAGGCAGAGAGCTCTGTGCCCCTGGTGGGTGCTTGGGGAACTTTGCTTGCTGAAGCCTGCACGGGGAACCTTGGGGTTTTGTTATGTTAAACACGATGCAAAGGTGTCAGCCTTGGCCTTGGGTGTTCTCCCCCTGAAATGGAAAAGTGGGATTGCCTAAGAGAAGGTCAGAGCTGGTAAAAACTGCACAGCCCAAGTGAGACCTGCATGAATATACTCTGGGGAATCCTGCTTTTCCTTCTGTGCTCTCACTTCTGAGGATGGTGCCACACAGCAAAGAAAGGGCACAGCCTGCTCTGGGGTTCTGTCCCAGCTGCTTGAACAGCCCCATTGGCAGTATTTTAAGATACTTTATTATATTAAAGAATGCTACAGTAAAATATACTAAAGAATACAGAAAAGATACTTAGAATGCTAAAAGATAATAATGAAAACTCTTTCCAGAGTCCCAGCACAGCTTGGCCCCAGTTGGCCAAAGACTGAAAACAACTCACAGCAGAATCCAATGAAACAATCACCTGTGGGTAAACAATCTCCAAACACATTCCACATGTGAGCACAACACAGGAGAAGCAAATGAGATAATATTGTTTTCCTTTTCTCTGAGGCTTCTCAGCTTCCCAGGAGAAAAATCCTGGGACAGGGGATTTTTCAGAAAATATGGCTGTGACCTCCAGAGTTGCTGATCACTGATGGAGAGATGTGGGTGGAGATATGGAGGTCACATGCTCTTTGAGTAGCTGGGCTCAAAGACTTCTCTTCTTTTCTTCTCCCCAGAAGTGAATTAACATTTCAGAATCATTTCTGGAGGCTTGGACAGTTGCAAACTCAATTAAAAAGAGGATTTTTTTCAAACTGATGATTTGCTTTCTGTCTTGGGAAAGCCCTGCTGCAGCTGCTGCCTCAGTGCTGCAGTTACACTTCTAGAACTGGTGAGGCTGTAAAGCAGAGAGGTTTTAATGCTAAACCAGGAGAGGTGCAATGCTCTGAGTTATCTTTATTTTTAAACTAATCTCTTCAAGAGGGTCTGCTGGCTCATTCTACTGAGAAGGCCTCTGGGTTTACTTGATTAAACTTTTGCAGTGTTGAAATTTAGAACAGCTGCTTTTTTCCCCCCTGAACTCCCTCCCTGCCACCTCTGAGAGGCAGAGTGTTGTAGTGCCTGGTCCTTGTCCACTGGATTTCCTAACCTGATTTAGAAGCAGGGACTGCTTGGCCAATTTGTTGGTGGTCCCTGAAGTCAGTGGAACTTGTTGGTGTTTCTGGACGTGGTGTCTGCATCTGTGCTGCATGGAAAGCTCCAAAAAGTTTCTGTCTGGACTTCTCAGTGAGGCAGTTTCACTTCCTTTGTGCTTGATTTCCATAGCACATTGCAGAACAGCATTTTGTGGCAGTAACACTGCTGCTCAGCCTGGGAGAAGCTGCCCAGTGACACATCCATGCTGTTCCCAAGGTTTTCAGCAGCCTGGGATCTCTGTGTGGTCCTCCCCTCTGTCATGTGGACATTTCCCTCAGTGGAATCTCTGGGGAGCTTCCTCTTTGAATCTTTTTGGTGTGTTCCATAAAACACTGTCTTATTTACACTTCTGAACGTTAAATCAGACAAGCAGCTTGTGTTATTTTGCCTTTAGCTGAGCCATGTGGGCTGTAATTCTCCTTTGTTGACATGGCCATAAAAGCTCTAACAGTGCCCTGGTGGTTGGGGAGGTTCAGCATGCCTTTGTCTTAAATTTGCTCTGGGAGATGTTTCAAGTTTTTAAGCAGTTTTAAAAGTAATAATTTTCAGCAATGGATGCATGTTTCCTATTTCTCACTAATTACTACTATTGTTCTTACTTTAATTGTGTTCTGCAAGAGCAGAGAGACAGGGATCAGTGAGTTGGGGTGCCTGGAAGATTCTAATCACATTCCTGCAATGATTTGGAAGGACTAATTAAGCTCAGCACATAGAAGAGGAACAGGGGAGTTTGTTCTTGTCTCATGTGTTCATGTTCACAAGGTGCTTTGTTTTTGCAGTATTAGCTGTGTGGATTTCCCCTGTAATTTGGGGAGAAATCACTTTTATGCAAGCTGCAGTATTTTTGTTTTTAAGTAGCTTTTTGAACTTTATAAAGAAAGGGCAGCTTTGAAGTGTAGGGAAAAATTCTGTGTGTGTGTGTGAGACATGTGAGTATTTGATGTGGATCTCTCTGGGAATTCTTCTTCCACTTACCCTACAGCTGAGGACAGGAGAGAGAAGGCAAAATCACCAGATGCAAGCCTAAGCTTCCTGTAGAGACCCATTTTGTCTCTTCTCCCCGAATTCTGTGGCTTCCAAACTTTGGCTGCACATTTGAAGTAGGAAGATGTGAGTGATATGTCTTGAGGGGGGCTTAAACTGTGCAGATCTGTCAGATTTTGTCTGTAATGATGAGCAGGTCACCTTGAGAGACACAAGTTGTGGAATTTACAATCTGCAGGTTTCCAGGGGTTTTATGGAAGGCTGCCACAATGTTATGACCATGCAGAGGATTGTGGTGTGGTTTTTACTCTGTTACCCTAGGAATAAATTGTTGTTTGCTATTTTTTTTTTTTTTTAATTCATGGGGTGGTTCAGCTCAGTGAAACTTCTGGTTAGCTTTGTCTCCAGGGTCTGAATGGACGTGTTTTTAGGTGAAAATGGAAGCAAAACTTCAGAGACCATGAAGCAAAGTGGTTCTTTAATGTCTGACAGTTTGGCAGTGACACGGCCAAAGGAATCCTTGGAATAGGGACCATATCTCTTATTGCTGTTGTAATGTTGAGGTTCCAGAGCACTGGGATTTGGAGCAATGGAAGTGATACACTGAGTTTGGAAAGCAGGAAGGATATTTATTCCCTTTGCTCTCTCCTCTCCCCTCCCATTCGCAAAACAACAAATAAATCAAGAACACGAAATGTCTGTTTACTTTCCTTTTTCCTCCACACTTTGCCTTGCCTTTGAAGATAGTGCAGGGCTGCAGAGCTGCCTAAACAATGCCATTTTCCAGCTCCTTTTCCCATGGCATGGAAAAGCCTGGGGGTTCATTGAGGGGAGAGGAGAATGTGTGTGAGCCCTGGGCGGGTGCTGAATCACCGCGCCTTGGCCGGGCGCCTCAGGCACTGGGGAAGTTGGATCCTGTGACAGTGATTCAGGCTCTGGCTGCAGCAGAACGAGTTTGCTGTCAGTGGCTGAGCTGACAAAGCCTCCTGTAAAGGAGCAGCCTCCATGCACAGGTATCATCCATGTGGAGCACAAGAGGATTTTGGTGTTGCAGCTGTGCTGGGCTGAAGGTGCTGTTCCAGACTCGAGCACTTCTCCGTGCTGGAGACTCAGGATGTGCTGATTGTGGGCCAATTTAGAAAGCTGAGCTGGCTGAAATTCAGCTTTTTTGGGTGGATTTTCAGCTGTCTGAACAAGCTTTCTGTGTGGTCATCTGCCAGTCTGGGTGTCTGGGAGAAGATTCATCCTGGATGCTCTTCCTTACCCTGCATGTGACTGGCTGCTGACAAGTGCTGGCTCTGACCTGCCAAAAACTGTGTGTGGCTCAGCATTCCCATGCAGGGGATAAAGGCAGACTTTGAGGAAAGGCTTGTTACATATGAAGGCAAGATGTTGGTGTTTTGGTGTTAGGATTGAAATGGGAGTAAGACTGTACAGAGGCTGCTTTTTCAAGAGCAGATTATCTAGGTGAGCATAGGGAATGCTGCCCAACAAGGAGCAGGTGTTCAGTAACACGAATCCCAAGATCCCCACGTCCTTCCTAGCAAAGTTTTCACAATCATTATCCTAAGCAGTGTTGCAAGGATAGGTGCAAGTATGCAATAATCCCATTCCTCTTCTCTCACCCAGTAGGAAGGCAGTCTATCACCAGCTGGTTTTATTTTTTCCCCAAAGGTAATCACAACCTGACAGATCTTTATTCATAAAGGGTATTGAGAAGTGAGTGGCACAGCCCATAAAACACTTCAAACATTGTTCCTGCTGCCATCCATTTGCTCCACAATTAATGCAGAGATGTCTTTATCCAGTGAGAAGCTCTGTTAGGTTTTATCTCTGACAGCTGTTGCTTTTAAACTTCCCCCAAAAAGCAGAAATTGTCTGTGGTGTGACAGTTGCTTCTACACTGCCTGTGGCAGCAGCTGCTGCTGGCTTGGATTGTGTCAGGAACAAATCCTGGCAGGCTCTGAACTTTGTTCCTTATCTCTGTACTTCATGTGTAGTCATTGTCACACAGTCACACTTGGCATTTTCAGGGTTTGCAGCCATGTCAGCAGGGGAAAATCTACGGAAAACCTAAATGTCATAAGGCATACAAATGTGATTGGCTCCTTTTTATGTTTATTTTTGAGGGGGAGGAGGTTAAAAGGGGAAGTTGCAGTTGGTTCAGGAGGTCTGAGGAGCAAAATTAGCCCCCCCATAAGCAGTATAAGTAAATTTTGATTCCTCATTTATGTGAACCTCTGTATAACTGTCCCAGCTACTCCATATCCTCAGTTTTTGGCTCACCCAGTAAGTCAGTCCTTCAGGCTGCTTGAAAAACCAACCTCACATTTTCCCAGGTTAAAATTTTACTGGGGAAGGTTGTACCCAGTGTCCCCTGCATGCCAGAACTCATAGAAGCTGACCTACAAGAGACCTTCCACTTGAGGAATTCCTTCCTGTGAAGAGTTTAATTTGTGTATTTGCAGCAGCTCTTGAGTTCAAGTGTGCAATAGTAAACCTGTGTGTGCCTTCCTCTCCTCCACCTCCTGATGCAAACCCTGTAGTCAGGGTGAAGAGGGCTGGGACAGCAGCCTTAGTGGGTGGTGTGGGTACTGACTGCACTGGCTGGGGAGAGGAATGCACAAATTCCTCCTGGTGTAAAATTCCTTGTGTCCCTGAGGGCTTAGAAGCTCTGGTATTGAGCAGAGCTAGGCTGGTCTCAGCAGAGGAGGGTGGGACAGTTCCAAGTCCTGCAGCATTCCAGGTTCTGGGAAGGTTTTGTAGCTGAGGAGTGCTGCCAACCCTGAGCTGACTCTGTGCCTCAGTGTGGCACTGCTCCAGACCTAATAAACCCTGCTGGACTGCAGCTGACTTAACACAGAGTCAACTTTGTTGTTTCTGTGTACGTGGCATAATTAATCTGTAATGCAGATAAACAATCCCCAGGTAATCAAGAGCTTAGGAGTTTTGTGAGGTGAGGTGACTGTGCAATGTGGTTCCCTCCTGCTGGGCTCTGGAATTCTATACTTTTTGTTTGTTTTCCCTTTCCCTCATCCCATTTAAACAGAGGATTCAGCATTTACATGGACATTTTCAAGCTGAGTGTCAGAAAGCTGCCTCCTGCTGTTCAGTGGCTTCTGCTGCCCTTTAAGCCCTGAGTTGTCCTGTGCACTTTGAAAGCAGAGTCAAGAAATGCTGTTCTGCATCCTCTTTTTGCTTTTCCCTCCTGCAACACCCATTGTTACTTTTCCTGTTTCCTTCTTTTCTGGTGACAGATGACATCTGGGGGCACTGAGAGCATCCTGATGGCCTGCAAGGCATACAGAGACCTGGCTTATGAGAGAGGCATCAAGCAGCCAGAAATGTGAGTGGTGCCACCACAGCTTTTTCCTTTGGGGGGCTTGTGGGATTTCCTGTCCCCTTGAGCTGAGATGGTGCTGGACCTCAATAATCCTTCCTTTCATAGCTCATTGCCATCTCTTCCTTGTCCATCTCTGTCTGGAGGAGAGAAACCTGGGTGAAAAGAAGAGTTCAAAAGCACAGAAATTTTAAAGCAGGCGGCCTGGGGGGCACAGATGTTGCTGGGGCAGCTGTATTTTGGCAATACCTGTCTGCTGCTCCAGACAGCCTGCTTGGATCAGCTCTGCTCTCCAGCAGAGATTGTCAGGCCCTTTGAAGTATTCAAGGGTTTTGATTTATTCACATCAAAGAAGGCTTAGTGTGAAAACTCTGAGGCTTGAGAGTTGGGCTGGTTGGAGCTCAAATGAGGAATTGTGCTAATCATTACACTGCTAATAGAGGATTTGCTGTCTCTAATGTGCTGTCTCTTTTCTTGATGGTGCATGGGAAATATTTCTCTGGTTAATTGCTTTGAGGGGAAAATGTTAAAGGAAACAAAACACTGGTGGTTCTTTTCTTCCCTCTCTAGCATTTAAGGTTCTGATAATGATGGGAGGCCTCAGAAAACAGGGTTAATTGAGGCTGTTCAGCCACTGCCACTGGAGATGGGAGACAGCAAATGTTGCATTCATTTGATCTGTTCCTTCTCCAGGTTGGTCCCAGTGAGTGCCCACGCTGCCTTTGACAAGGCAGCACACTACTTTGGGATGAAGCTGATCCAAATACCTCTGACCAAGGCTATGGAAGTGGATGTTCAGGTATCATTTTAGTCTCTCTCTGTGAGGAAGTTAACATTGCACAGCTGCTAGGCAAGAAATCTGCCTGCCCAGGTATCGAGTCAGTGGATAAAGAGACAGGAATGCTTTGTGGAAACAATGAAAACCAGCATGAGTAAGTGTCATTGCAGGTGAAGTTGTATTTGAAATAACTGGATGTTATCCCTTTGTCCTGTGGGCTTCATTTAGACTCAGGTAATTTATGTATTTCTTAAATAGCCCCAGATTTCAGAGAAAGGTGAACAAAAATATGATGGCATTTCCCAGTGGATGAGTGGTTGTAGCTCATTGCTTTCCTCTGTGTACTCTTGTATGCCTTGAACTCTGCATGTTCTCACTCTTTATCTTTTTTGGCAGGATGGCACTTGGTAAAATGGAATGTGAGCATCTTCTCTCTTTAAATCTTCAGGCAATGAGGAGAGCCATCTCAAGGAACACAGCCATGCTGGTCTGTTCTGCTCCCCAGTTCCCACATGGAATTATGGACCCCATTGAAGAGGTGGCAGAGGTAGGGTTACCCCTACCTGTAAGAACCTGTGTGTTGTAGCAGTAAAACCAGCACAAGAATGGTGGAGGGGTTCCAGGATGCTGAGCAGTGAATTTGGTGGGGGGATCCCACTGGCTGGAAAGGTATTACTGTCCTCAAATGAGCTGTTTGCCAGCAGCAGGGTATGTAGGATGCAGTTGGGACTGAGGGGGAGTGTGTCACTGTGAGACCAACCAGAAGTGCTCATTCTTTGCTACCTGAAAGGAAAGAACACCTAAATGGCTCACCTGGTGAAAAGGCTTTGATTTATGGTCTGCTGGTTGTAGCAAAATTGGTGTGGAGGGAGAAGGAGTCAAAGGGCTGGGATCTTATTTTCTGAACACACCTCTTGATTTCTTTCCTCTCTGTGCTCCAGTTATTTATTTTGTATGTGACCAGCCAGGGCCTCTGACATTCTGTTCATTTGGCTCACACCCTTTTATTTTATTGTGGATACTCTTTTCAGACAATGTTGTCACATTCCTTGTGGCATTTTGGTAGCTTGCTGTGTTTGCCAATTGTTTTTCTTGTGTGTGGAAGGCAGGAGAAGGCATCTCACAAACAGCCAGCCCTTCCACATCTCCTGTTCTCCACAACTTGAGAGTGGTGTGATGTTCTCAAAGGGTTCAGTGAACCTTTGACTGTGAAATACCAAATATGTTTTGGTGACTGGAGTTTGGCTGCTCCAGCCACATCATTTTGATCTCTTGTTCCCACACAGCTTGCAGTGAAGTACAAAATCCCCTTCCATGTGGATGCCTGCCTGGGTGGATTCCTCATTGCTTTCATGGACAAGGCAGGGTTCCCCCTCAAGCGTCCCTTTGACTTCCGTGTGGAAGGTGTGACCAGCATTTCTGCTGACACCCACAAGGTGAGGACAAGGGTCTTCCAGGGCTTTCAGTTTTGAGCTGTGATTCCTGTTTGCCATCCTGGCCTTCAGGCATTTCTTCCCTAGTGTGTGGAGGAGCACTGAGGTGCAGGGATAGGGGCTGCTCTGTTCATGTGCTTTGTGCAATGTGCCAAAGTCCCCACCTTATCAACCAGAGCAGAGCACTGAGTGCCACATCCAGTCATTCCATGAACACCTCCATGCATGGAGACTCCACCACCTTCCTGGGCAGCCCCTTCAACCCTGACAGCCCCTTTTTCCCCTTCCACAAAGAAACTTCTCCTGATTTCCAACCTTAACCTCCCCTGGCACAACTTGAAGCTGTTTCCTCTTGTCCTGTCACTTGTTTTCTCTGAGCAGAACCTGACCCCCCCTGGCTGTCCCCTCCTGGCAGGGAGTTGTGCAGAGCCAGAAGATCCCCCCTGAGCCTCCTTTGCTCCAGGCTCAGCCCCTTTCCAGCTCCCTCAGCCCCTCCTGGGGCTCCAGCTCTGTTCCCTTCCCTGGACACGCTCCAGCCCCTCCAGGGCTCTCTGGCTGGGAGGGCCCAGAACTGGACACAGGCCTCAAGGGCCCCCAGCACAGAGGGACAATCACTGCCCTGATCCTGCTGGTCACACTATTCTTTATCCAGGCCAGGTGCCATTGCCACATGGGCACATGGTGGCTCATGTACAGCCACTGTCACCAGCACCCCAAGGCCCTTTCCAGTTTTCCAGCCCCTCTGCTCCAGCCTGGAGCTGCAGGGGCTTGCTGTGACCCAAGGACAGGACCTTGCACTTTGCCTTGCTGAACCTCTGCCCATGGATCCAGCCTGTCCCAAGCCCTCTGCAGAGCCTTCTGCTCTCCAGCACATCAACAAATGGGATCTTGGTGAGGACCTGGATGCATTCCTGTGCCCTCTTGCTGCTTTCTAACCCTTTCTGTGCCCCTTGCAGTATGGCTACGCTCCCAAGGGCTCCTCGGTGGTGCTCTACAGTGACAAGGAGTACAGGAAGTACCAGTTCTTCATAGCCCCTGACTGGCAAGGAGGAATTTATGCCTCCCCCTCCGTGGCAGGCTCCAGGCCTGGTGGGATCATAGCTGCATGTTGGGCAACCCTGCTGCACATTGGAGAGTCGGGCTACGTTGAGGCCACGAAGAGGATCATTAAAACAGCTCGATTCCTGGAGTCAGAGTAAGGGTTTGGATCCTGCTGGACCCCTCCTCCCAAACTGCTTTTGGTTTGTTTTTCCCTGATACCTGCTGGGCAGTTCTGGGAGAACATTTGTTTGTGCCCAGATAGCTGAGGGGTGCAGGCACCTTCATTCAGCTTGGCTTTGGGAATTCCTTTTGCCTCAGCCGTGGCTGAAGGGGAATCTGGAGGGAGGACAAAAGAAGGGTTGTACTTCTCCTTGTTGGGGTGCTTGGGTGGCTATGTAAGAGAAGCTGATTTTCTGTCTTCCCTTGCTTTTCTGTCTTCTCTCTTTTCAATTGTTTCCTGGGTTTACTTGACTTTAGGGTGTGTAATGACCCAGCTCCTCTGGCAAGCCCCAATGGCATGGGCTGGGTGCATGATTTTTGGGTGGGAATGTGCTGCCATCTCTTCCCTCTTGTAGCTTTTCTTTTAAGGCTCCAGCTGGGTGGACAGAATGGCTGAATACTGTAACATTGATCAGTCATTTCTTTTCTCCTCTTTCTTTTCAAGGTTGAGAAAAATTGACAGCATCTTCATTTTTGGGAAGCCAGAGGTGTCTGTCCTGTCCATTGGCTCAGACACTTTTGACATCTATCGATTATCTAATTTTTTAGCTGCAAAAGGATGGAACTTGAATGTCCTACAGTTCCCACCAAGGTGAGTGTGTGGAGACCAGGGAGTGATGTATTTAGCAAGATGCTCAACTTCAGGCCATGTAGCTCTTGTGATTTACTGAGTACTGTTGTCCATAGCTGATAAATTGTATGTAGAATTTTACTCTGCAGAGCAGGAATCATTTTTGTAATTGCCATTATACAGCAGTGAAGATAAAGTAATAGTAATTTTAATGAGCCTGGCAGAGGACTTTCTATTTACCTCTATCTAATACAAGCAGAAAAATGTAAATAACCAAGGCTCTATCTGATGTTTAGTTAACTGAGGGTTTGTAGATTGATTTATTGATTTTTTTGCTGTCTTCCTCCTGCCCGCTGAAGGTGAAGGAAATCAAAACAACAGTCAATGGTTGATCATTTTCAATGTAAAATTAATCTTTGTCAGAGACTTTCCTTAAGTGGGAAATTGGGCTTTTGTGGGCGGAAGGGGCCAGTGGTCCCAAAAAAAATTGTGAGTGACCATGTGAAGCAAAGTCCAGAGAGCCTGAGGTGATAGCTCAGAGGTGGGTGCTTCCTTCTGGTGATGGGTTAGAAGCTGAGGAGGAAGGAGAGGGAAATGATGGCAGGGGTCCCTGTGCTTGCAGGCAGCTGCATTTTTCTCACCAGAGGTACCTGGAATGAGGTGAGAAACTTTAAGCTAATTGTGAAGTCAGGAAGGAAGGAAGAAGGAGCTGGTTGTAGCAAGCATTTTGCAGGGATTCCCTTAGTGGGAATGCTGTTTCAAGGAGATACCCAGTTATCACTGGCCACAGAAGGGCTCAGCTGCTGTTGGGGGCTCAGAAAAGAGGGAGCTGTGTGTACTGGAGGTGGTTAATGTGTGCCCTCTGCCCTGCCTGCCCAGCATCCATCTCTGCATCACGCAGCTGCACACCAAGCCCGGCGTGGCTGAGCAGTTCCTGAAGGACGTCAGGGACAGCATCCAGGACATCATGAAGGACCTCAATGCCAAGACCACGGGCATGGTGAGCAGGCCAGCACACAGTGAGGAGGGGGTGTTTGGGCTGAGGGTGTTTCTCCTGTGTAACAGCCTCTCTTCTCTGCTTAGGGAGCCATCTATGGAATGGCACAGTCCGTCCCAGACAGGAGCCTGGTGGCAGAGATTTCCCAGGCCTACCTGGATGGCCTCTACAGCACGGATGTTCTCAGCACTGAAAAGCACATGAACGGCTCTCCCAGCCACCACTGACTGTAGTGCAACAATCTGTGCCTTGCCAGCCAGCACTGGGGTGGTTCCAAAGGTTTCCTAGGGAAAGAGATTGCAGTTCCTTTGTTCCTACAATTGCAGGTCTGAGGGTGGCTTGATCTGGAAGAATTCCTTCCCTGTCTTAGTCTCTTCTGAAATCTGCATTGTTTTCATGCCCAATTTCAGTTTTAGGGCTTTTCCTCCCTCCCCCCTGCCTGTTTTCATCATGGCTGTTGATGGTGAATTGAATGTCCATTCCACAGCTCCGAATTCCTCAGGTATCCTGCGTGTCCCTTCATTCCATGTTGTCTCTCCTCCTCAGACCTGGTGTTCAGCCAGTGTCCAGCCAAGTGTTAAATTTGAGTTCTCACATTGTGTTCCACGGCTCCAATCTTCCTGGAAGCTAATGGCAGACAGTAAATTGGAAATTTTGTTTTCTCTTGAGTATTGCTGTAAGCTGCTGCATTTAACAGACCTTGCTGGGAGCCTTATATCTGTGTAATGCAGAACTGATAAATTGGCAGAGGGAAGGTAGTCATGGCCTCCCTTTGAAATCTGAGTGAGACTGCAATCAATATCTGCTGAGGGGGAGAAAAAGACAACACAAACTCCTTTTCTGGAATCTCTTGAACAACAGCAGAAGTAGAAACCAAGCAGGTGGCACAGGGAGAGGAACTGGAAGGTACTGAAAGCCCCAGGTACACTGTGGCTGTTCTGCTCCCCTGCCTCTTGTAGAAGACATGCATTGACCACCCAGGAGTGCTGTTTTCCCTTGCACAAATCTGGAGGGAGGTGCAAAGCTCATTTCACTGTTCAGAACTTGAAGGTTTTACACTGTCCCCTCAGGATGCTGTAGCAGAGCCAGCCAGCCCTGGCCCCTGTCACAGCCAGGGACGTTGTGCGCAGACGGTTTTTTTATCCACGGTCTTTTAGTATCAAAAGGTGACTTTTGTATTAGCAGTAATCTCAGCTCTTTGCACTGATTCTTTTAAGGCACATTCTCAAAAGGGCATTCACCATTGTGCCTTGATGCTTCTCTGGCTTTTTTTTTTTTATGGCAGGCCAGGGAGGGTTGGAGGGTTCAGCTGTTTGACCGTGACCTTGGTTGTGGTCGTTTCTTTATGGTACTAATTCTGAATACAAACCTCAAAGGCAGGCTGGCCTCAGAGGAAGATGCACCCTTGCCTGTTAGGTAGGATAGTAGTTGTAATGAGCCAAGTCCCTTCACAGTATTACAAAGATGCTGGGAGAAACAGGAAAGGATGCAGCAAGTCAGAGCTGTTCCAGCCTTGGGCACGTGGCTCAGCCTTTGTATTTTTCCCTGCTGTTTTTAGGATGAGAGGGTTTTCCCAGCAAAGCCTTGTGGCCTCAAGGACAAGCCAGAATCTCTCAAGTAGCCTTGGAGTTACTCCTGCAGGGCTTTCCCATGTTTCCTCTCAGCTTTTTGCATGGAGCAGAGTTTCCCAGGCAGAATCCCACATGTGGGTGAAGACTTCATGCTGTGTCTGCACAGTCCTGTGCGGGGCATCTGAAGGCATCTCTCTGCTCCAGCCTGTTAGCCTGAAGCTGGCCCTGGCTGCAGCACAGGAATTTAAAGGAATGAGAAGGTCACTGACCAGCTCTTGCACAAACCAGCCCAGCCACTGTGGGAAGGATCCTGGCTTTCCAACAGCTTTATTCCCTGTGCTAGGAGACACAAGCATTTTGGCCATCTGCCCTGAGCTTGATGACTTCATGCAAGTCTCTGAGCCCTTTTGAAATCATTGAATTGCCTGAGAGTCTCTTGATGGTGATATCAGCTCTGGCAGTTTGTATTGGACCTATTTATTCTCTCAAGGTCTTGCCAATGTGACCATTACTGTATCTCTGAGTTTGGAGACAGTCTTCAGTGTCTGGCTACTGTGATGGTTCTCTTTGGAACCGAGATTTAACAGAACAAAAAAAATAAAAAAAGGGAGGTACTCTTTTTGTTTCTGCTTTAAAAGAAAGAAGGGGTGGATTGGGGTGGGCTGAAGGAGAGCAAAACTCCCTTCTCTTCCTTCCCTGGTTGCATTTTCCTCCCAGGAAGTAGGTGGATCTAACCAGATCAGTGCTCCATTTCACACTTTTGGATGTATTTGAAGATGTTATTTGTAAGTCAATGTATTCTATTCTGGGCTTTGCTCATTAATAATATTTGTGGGTTTAATTGTTCCATGTGTATTTGTCCTATACTGTAAATGTAATCCTGTGGTCAGGAGTAGGCCACTGTAATTCCCTGGTGTGTAGTTTTTATTCATCCTTGTCACCTAACATGTAATCTGCATCCACTTTATCATGCCAAATGGTCCTGGAAAAAGAGATTTACAGGCTGTGTGGTTGTTTTAAAGACAAAAAAGAGAAGAATTTGATGAACTGGATTATGATCTGAAACTGGACGGTACTTTTAGACCTGGAGGGATCCTTGCCACTGTGAATTCCTGCAGGATTTCCTGCTTTTCCAAGCGGGACACTCAATTTGTTGCTTGTACAAAGCACTCCCAAGGGATTCACCTGTTTTTAGGTACTAGAATGAAGAATATCCAATGGGATGGACCAAGAAGAGATGTGTGTCTTCATGCCATGGATTTCATCTGCACTTTTCTGATGACTTGGGGGAGAGGGGAGCGGAAGGGTTGCGTACAACACAATAATACCTTGCCCAATAAATCCACAAGGACTTTTTAATGGACAAATGAGATGAGTTGATCTGATGGCAGTTTTCTGCTTTGCTCTGATTTGCCCCTGGTTGAACTGGAGGCTGAAATAGCTGGAGAGCTGGTGAAAATGGCCCTGGTTTGTATTAAAATGGTGCATTTAGCTATTTAGGCTCACTGAGCTCTTATTTTCCTGCTTCAGTGCTTGTTTGAATGAATGTGAACCTGGAATTTGCTCATGCACAGCCTGGTCTGTGGCAGGGAGGATGGTTTATGAATCTTACTAACTCTGCCTGAGGGCTGCTCTGTCCTTCGGTCAAAATGAAGGTGGTGTCCGTGTCTGCATCTTGTGTGTGATGTTCAAGGGTGCTGGAAGTTAAGAGCTATGGATTTTCTATTAATACTTTGTAGAACTTAAAAGGGTTTTAAAAAGAGAAGAAAAAAAGACTTGAACCGGGTGTTTGTGGTGTTTTTCCCCAGACTGTGGTGCTGAAATCAAATGCTGTTGGTTTCACATGAAATTGTTCATTTTATCAGGGAAGATCCTGCACCACCAAATCCACCCACAACCCCATTTTGGGAAGTATTCCACCCTAAGCAGCCCTTGCCCTGGTGCCATGCTGCTTTTGTGCCTTTTGGTTGTCCTTTCCCTGTGTTTGTGCCTTGGCTGTGATTTTACACAAGCAGTTTTTACCTGCCCTGGCTTTGATCCTCTCTCGTCTTTCAGACCCCAGTCACTCTGATGTGAAGGCACCTGCATTTCTGTGTGAAGGTTTTTTGTGGCAGCAGCACCTTCTTTAGAGCAGTCAGGGAAACCTGTTGGTGTCATTTGGTCAGTGAGGCCTCTCTGCAAAGAGCCACCAGGTTCAATGAGATGTTTATTGTAAACATTTTCAGTTGGTATCCCAGGAAAGGCTGGCTCCAGTTGGGGTGAGACCACGTGCCTGATGTAATACTGCTGGAGAGGGGCTACAGCAATGACAAACTGCACAGCACCTTGCTGCTTGGCCACAGACAAGCCAAAGGGGTCACAAAATGAGTTTTAAGCACATTCCAGGAGGTAAGGAGCAACAACAGGGGCAGGATGGGGGCAGGCTCTGGACAGATTTACTGGTGTAACTTGACTCTGGAAGGACATCAACCTGTTGGACCTGTACCAGGGGAGGTACCAGGATGATCAGAGGGGATGGAGCACCTCTGCTATGAGCAAAGGCTGAGAGAATTGGGATTGTTCAGCCCAGAGAAAAGAAGCTTTGGGGTGACCTCATTGCAGCCTTCCAGTGCCTGAAGGAACCGACAAGAAACACGGAGAAGGATTTTCTACAAGAGCACGTAGTAACAGGACAAGGGGAAATGATTCACACAGAATAGGTTTAGATGGGATATTGGAAAGAAATTCTTCCCTGTGAGAGTGGTGAGGCCCTGGCACAGAGCCACAGAGAAGCTGTGGCTGCCCCTGGATTTCTGGCAGTGTCCAAGGCTGGGTTGGATGGGGCTTGGAGCAGCCTGGGATGGTGGAAGGTGTCCCTGGCCATGGCAAGGGGTGGAATGAGGTGATCTTTAAGGTCCCGTCCAACCCAAACCATCCTGTAACTCTGTAATATATGACTGTGATATCACAGAGGCTCAGATAAGAGGCTCAGCAGCTGGGGCTGTGGGATCACATGGCTAAGGAAGGGTTTGAGGATGGAATGTGCAAGATCAGAGATGGATACGTGCACCCTGAGCAGTGCCTCCATCCATCCGAGCTGCGCTGGGGGGGGCTGCCGAGGTGTCAGGCTGGCTGGATCCAGGATCTAGCTTGGAAGTGGGAAAAGGCTTTGGGTGCAGGACACAGTGGCACAGTGGGGTTTTGGCAGGTGGATCCCTGCTCAGGAGAGGGAAGCTGCCACCTGCTCGATGAAGCTGGCCAGGTTGATGTCTCGCTCCGACAAACCCCCGCAGTCGTGGGTGCTCAAGGTGATGTGAACCTAAGGCAGACAGACAGGCTCAAAGTTGTGGACAGAAACAGCAGGGCTGCTTCCCTCAGTGCTGCATCTGATGAGGCAGTAGCTCCAAACCTGTTAGCAAAATTCCCTGCGCTGGCAGAGGCGCTCTGGCACTTTGCCTGGTTTTTCTCCTCTCTGCAGCTCGTGCTGGCCACAAGCTGTCACTGCCACCCCTGCCTTGGTCACAGCAGCCACCTGTGCCCATTGTCAACTCACTCTTTTCCCCAGAAGCTTTTCCTGTGGCTGCTGCTTGATACAGATTTTAATAAGCAATGCTGGTGCCAGCCTTTGGCAGCTACTGCTCAGCTGGACAGGATAAAAGGAGGAGGAAAGGATCTGTAGTAGCTGAAGGCTGGCTGTGATATGGGAATAGCATCTGAGGGAAAAGGTCCTGCTGATGAGAAGAGCACTTGCTGCTCCTGTTTTATCCCTCAGAAGAGGGAGCTGCTCCCTGAAGTGCTCTGCTTTGTCCTCACCATCGTGTTCCTTACCTTGTTGTACACATTGAACCACTCAGGGTGGTGATCCAGTTTTTCTGCCTGTAGAGCCACTCTGGTCATGAAGCCAAAGGCCTGCAGGGTAAGAAGGAAAGTTAATTCAGAACCATTTACCCTGCAACATACTGGTTTTCACTCCCATTACTAATAACTTTACACTCCCTGTGGCTTCATAACCCAACCAAATGCAAGGCCTGGGCTATTCTGGGAGTTTTCTCTGGGTTTTTCTCTTCCTGAGGAGTGTTTCCCAGACAAACTGTGCTGGGTTGAGCCCTTTGGTGCCTTGGGGAGGTTATTTTGCTCAGCCATTCCATTTCAGGAGAGACACAGAGGACTTTCTTTGGCTGAGCTTTGCAGAGGGGACTCCCAGTGTGCAGAACTCTGTGCCCCTGATGTTCATACCCGGTTGAAGTCCTTGAAGTGGAACTCTTTGAAGATGGCATCTCTGCCTTCCACCTCGTTCCACCCCACAGCTCTCAGGTTTGGCAGCAGCTGCTCCCTCTCCTCTGTGCTCAGCCTGTGGGCTTTGCCTGCCTGGAAAGGGAAGAGGAGCAGGTCAGTGTGGCAGAAAAGGGATGAAGCAGATGTTGAGAGCAATGAGGCATCCATGGATTGTGGAGTTGCAGCTGCAGAGTGGGTGGGAGGGATGGAATATCAGTGTCCTCTGCCCCCTGCCTGGAGTACATCCTGCATGTACCAACAAAGTCCAGCTGGCCCCTTCTGTCCTCTCACCTGCAACACCTCCTACAGTGCCTGAGGTACTAAAAAATGATACCTGATGAAGTTAAACTCCAAAATACATTTTCTTTTACATATAATCTTCAGGGGAAAAAAGAAAAACAATCAACAGCTTAAAAAGCAGAAGCTCTTGTGATCATTTCTTGATCTGAGAGTTGCTTTAGGGTTCCTGAAGTAGGAGGGCCTTTTTCTCTCTCTCTCTCTCTCTCTCTTTTTCTCTCTCTCTCTTTTTCTCTCTCTCTCTTTTTCTCTCTCTCTCTTTTTCTCTCTCTCTTTTTCTCTCTCTCTTTTTCTCTCTCTCTTTTTCTCTCTCTTTTTTTCTCTCTCTTTTTTCTCTCTCTTTTTTTCTCTCTCTTTTTTTCTCTCTCTCTCTTTCTCTCTCTCTCTTTCTCTCTCTCTCTTTCTCTCTTTCTTTCCCTCTCTTTCCCTCTCTCTTTATTGGGAGCTTGCTTTTGAGGAGAAAGAAGTGCTGTGGATCAGAGATGAGTCACACTAAGCTGCAGTTCAGCTCCTTTTTCCCCCTCTCCTTTATATTACAATGGATTTTAAGAGGCTGTTTCAGCCTGTGAGGAACAAAGGGCAGAGGGAGGGATTGTGGTTGAGCTCTGCCTTGGGCAGAGCTGCTGGTACTTATTTTTTAAGGGGTGGTAGTGGGGAAGCAGCACTCCTCAGGCTTTGAGGAGTGTTTATAGGCAGAGATGAAACTAAAATGAAGCTCTTGGGGTTGGGGGCTGCTCTGGCTCAGTGGGAAGGCAGGAGTGAGTGCAAAGGGGCACTGCTCTCTGAAATGTCATGTTCTGGCAAGTAAAATTCTTTCACAGAATCACAGATTGTTCTGAGTTGGAAGGGACCCACAAGGATCATCAAACTCCAGCTCCTGGCCCTGCACAGGACAGCCCCAAGAATCTCACCATGTGCCTGAGAGCATTGTCCAAACACTCCTTGAGCCCTGGCAGGTTTGGGTGAGTTGATCTTTCCAGCTGGTGATGATAAAGAGCTCCTTGCAATTTATTTTCCTTTGTGTGCTGTAGAGCCAAGTGTGGCAAGTTGGAGATGAGTCCTGAGAAATCTGGCTCAGTATTTTGGTGGGTATTTGATCAGCAGCCCCTTGAGATGCTTTGCTTGGGCATCAATGCTCAGAAATGGCATTGGGCAACTGAGGCAAATCATCCTCTCCTGTGCTTTCCCTGCTCACAGGCTGCACAAAACCAAAGCACCAGCTGTGAAACTGATGGTTTTGTGGGTGGCTCTTGCACGTTTTGGGGAAGACTGGAATGATGACACCCCATTCCCGTGGCTGTGTGGGTGCCTGCCTACCTGTGTATCCCTGCATGGAATGGAGAGTGCCAGTGTCACTGGGGCTGGGATGCTTCCTGTCCAGCTGCAGGAGTTTTGGGGAGGGTGTTCCTTGCCTCTGCATATTTTGGATGAGCCCCTGGCAGCCCTGGCTCTGTCACCCCCTCCCCACCCCCCAAATGTCAACGCTGTGCTGGCAGGGAAGGCAGTGAGCAAACAGGACTGAGCTCAATAAACCCGGAGCCGTTGCCCTTCCCTGCTGATGGTGAGATAAGCCGGGCACAGGTAGCTTAGCAACTGGATAAGGTGGGGACAGAGGATGGCTCTGCTGGCAGGGAGCCACCCGCGGGGGCTCTGAAGGGAGCAGGGCAAGGGCTGCACCAGGATTTGGGATCAGGGGCTCAAACTTCTCCGTATCAGTGCTAAAAAGAGGAAAGGTAAAAGCTGGAGAGTTGTAGCTTGGAGCAGAGGGGTATGGATGCAGGGGGCTGGGTTCCAAACCAGCCTTCCCCGGGCACAGCAACAAAGGGACTTGGTGTAATTGTTCTTTCTCTCTGTCGTGACTCTGTGGGAGGATGGCCCCCGGGGCTTTTTCCAGCCCAGCTCCTCCCAGCACCAGCGGGAGGTTTGGCACCCAGAGCACCCAGAGCCAACTCCTCTGGCTGTGTCAGAGGGCAGACCCTCTGCCTGGAGCACCCCTGCCTCCATCCTGCTCCAATCCATCCCTCTCCAGCCCAGGACATGGGCCAGCCTGCTGCTTTTGTCAGGATGGCATGACAATGCTTTCATGTGCTCTCACTCCTTAAAAACACACTCTTCTCGTTAGGGAAATGAAATTATTTTGTTTTCTTCTGCTGGTTCTCAACTGCCAAAAAGCTGGGATTTTAATTTTTGGGTTTTTTTTTTTTTTTTGCCAGCAGGAAACCAAGTAGAT